AACGTCCTCTTCGTGGAGTTGCACCGCAACGAGCCGAGCCGAGGCTCTACTACGTGATTTACGGGTCGCGTCCCCGTTTTAAATGCATGCAGAGCAACCGTGCGTGTGCACGTTCTTCTCTCTCATTCTGTACAAGTGCCGGTGTGTGCCACCTTCTCATCTCTCTGTTTCTCTTATTTCATCTCATGCAATCTGTTAGTTCCTCCGTATAGGTTTGTGTACATGCAACGTGGGAGTCGAATGCCTCCGGAGAACCCAGTTGCTCGTTTTTTCGGTGTGAGTGTGAAGTAAATATCTTTTAATAGATATAATGCGGTTTGTCCTTTGGTATTGTTGTTTCACTTGAGAAATGAACACACGTGGAAGAAATGGATATAATGGATTATTTTCAATAGACATGATGTAATTCTTAAAAATAAGCACGTATATTAGATGAAAAACGTCATACAATCAATCAGATTATATAAAAATATGATAATCAGGAAATTAATGAAAACGAGTGTTTATTCTGTTACATGACATTTATATAATATATAATTTATAATATATATTATTTCTATAATTTTTAATCTATATAATTTTAATTCTTACATTTTATGTCCATTAATTCTTAGAATTCTTAGAATTACTCTCTCAATAATAGGATATCGTATCATATTAGTTATTGAATAAACTTTTAATATATATTTGTAATTGATTTTTTTTCATTTTAATTTTTAATATGGATTCAGTGATTCTTAGAATTTTATCCTTTTAATATGTATATATGTGAGAAAATTCAGAATTACAAATGCTAAATAAGCATTGCTGTATTATGTAAAAATTAAAAAATGATTCTAATTGCTAAAGTTTTGTTTTTTCAACTAGTTCATGTTATTTTTGCTGTTTCTTCGAAGTCTTTCATAACAATTTATATATAACATAAACAAACATATAAGAATGTCAGGTTCTAAGTATTATGTTTCTATACATTTATAGATTCAATATTATGTGTTCAAATTTCATTCCAAATATGATTAAATCAATTAATTTTATATTCTAATTTTATATTCTGCTTGCTTATCTTTATCTTTGGTATTTTTTCAAAATTTTTATTATTAAATATTAGACAAATAGATATAGATAGTGATGTTGTCATAGTTTCTATATTATAAAGTCGTAACAACTCTGAATATGATTCAAAGTCCATGCAATGTTTTGAATTTCATATCCCATTCTGTCTTAATACATGTTTGTTTTCTTCCTTAGGTCAAGCTGTATAATCGATTTAAATTATGATAATTTCTGTCAGTAATAAAATTTCGCATATTCAATGTAATGATTCTGGATTTACTATATTATAATTAATTAGATTTATATTTCCGCTAATTTCTCATTTCTCTATATACTTCTGATATACTAATTCTTAAGTATAATGATTTTTTTTTTTAATTATTCGGAGATTATAATATTAGCAAATTACTTATATTATTTTAGAATAATTTATTTGTTAATTATTATTTCAAATAATAATAAAATAATTTTTTTTGTATGTAAAACACATCTCATCTTAAGCGTATCAAGAGCGTAAAAGTTAATAAAAATATATTTATACATAGACGTTAAAAAAATGATTTTGAAAAATATAAATTTACATTTTACATTTTCTTAATGAAACAAAATGAATATCATATAATATCAGGTAAAATACAAATATAATAATTATTTAAGTTAAAATAATAGGACTACTGAAATAAAAATTTATTTTCAATTGTAAATAACATCTGTTGAACATTTGCATTTCCACCTCGTCTAACGAATGCATCTTATCGGTTCTTAGTATTGGTCTGGTATGAGATTCCGCGTTACGCAGTAAGATAAATAAACATAATATAATACTCTTGATCTGTGATGGGACACTTGACTACCAATCATTCATCGTAATCTCACATCAGTCGTCTCACTTATTCTCAATATTTTCACTTCAATCCAATCAGAGTCGAGCAATCTGAAAAAAAGAAAACAATCATTAATTCCTGAAACTCTATCCTTCTATTATCCGTTCCGAATAGTGTTCGCGATAAGATTGCAGACCTTTGAATATTAATCGAATACCATTGTATATGAGAATATAATATATGTTTATACGCATATAATATGCATATATAATACTGTATAATATTAGAAATGAGGGCGTGATACTCGAGGAATAGATTTTGAGGTTAAGTATTTCTTAGAGCGTTTGTTAGTGGTCAAAATTAGTACAATATGATTCTATTAATACAAAATTTTAATTCATATCTATTCAACTGAACATTGAACCCAATTACATTAATGAATATTCCTATTATTTAAGCGAAAAATTATAAATAGTAAGAAATATAATGTAGTAAGAATATTTTTTGTAAACTATATTATATCATTAAATTTTATTATATCATATTATTATATAAATTAATAATTAATGAATCGGATAAATAAAGTTTACTTATATATATTTATTTCGACATTTAAGTTTGATACTAAGTTTATAATAGATAGTTCGTAGAAAGAAATAGGTTTTAAATAAAGATTCGTGGGAAGTAGTCAATCGTTTGATGTGAACTATAAAATATCGAATTAATTCAAGTTTAATGAATTTTTAGATTAAAGTTACAAAATGATAGAAGATAAAACATACTAATAATTATATATAGACTAGAAACTATATATAAGCTAATAAATATGAAGACTAAATTCATGTAATTTTAAGTTATATTTTATTAACTGATTTCTATCTATCTGATTCTATCTGAAATACTTTTTACATGATAGGATAATGTTTCGAATTATAAGTGTATGATGAAAGTACTTAATGAATTACTCGAATGATCATTGAATGTTACGATATTTATTACGATTATAAAATTCTAAATAAAAATCAATAAAATTATATTTTTAAAAATTATTCATATAATTCAAACAAATGTCATATTCGGATCACTATTATAAACATTTTATGAAAATCTTTTAAAAAACAATTAATCGATCATCATTGCTATGATTAATTTCGATATTCTTAAATTCTTTGTGAATATTTAAAAACACGCGTTAAAATGACAAATGGCAATTCGAGATTGGAACGAATTTTCGTACAATAGTACCTTTGCAAAAAAAAACTCGCGAGACAAAAGCTACGACCTACGCCACTGTTTGGCGGCCCCTGATAACATCGGTGAATCACGAATTACGAATGTTACGTTGCGTCTGGCATCTCCCACTGTCCCCCTTTCGATGCAAAGACAACCGTAGCACGTGGTTGCGTGTCGTTGATCGTGTGTGTACACGCGCAGAGAGACGACAAGCTCGCGTTGCATTCTCTGTGTGTCCCGTTTTGTTTACGTTTTACCGGCATGCCTCCGGCCGATTGAAAAATTCGCAGCCACCCGTGTGCGCCCGCGCGCACTTGTGTGTCGTAATTCACGCATCGACGTGACGAACTCGGGGCGTCCAACGTCATGCTTTGCGCGGTTACAAATGAAAACGAAAGTTTATGCGGTTTTATTTTCTTTTTATTCTTCTTCTCTTTCTCCCCTCTCTTTTTTTACGAATAAAATGAATTTGATAAATTGATGATGTATCACTAAAATAATAGTTTTAGGAGAATCTTTTTTTGCAGAAATTTTT